TAATAACTTAATAATTAAATCATATATGATTTAAACCAAATAAAAACTTAGTAAATAAAAAATATAAGTTTTTCTTTTGTTTATTTATTCCTGTGTGGAAAAAAAAGATAAAAACAGAAGTAATCTGTAAGGAGGCAAAAACTTTTTCACACAGCTTTAAATCCTGCATGTCAAATACTAAATGATTTCAAGTGAAAAGTGTGAAACCAAGTTTCTCAGGGAACTGAAAAGAGCTGAATAACCAGTAAGAAAAAAGCTGAAGAACAGCCTTTTCCTAACAGGTTCTTCCCATAAACCCATTAAAATAAACCCTTCAGCTAAACCACAGTTCAAAATAAAATTCCATAAAGATGAGTTGGATTTCTTTACACGTTCATTCATGTATCTGTATTATTCTGTTTTCCTCCTTGAATTGTTGGGTAAGTCCCAGCTTCCTTTGACACGGGTCAGCCTGACCCAGCTAATTAATTTCCCCTTGAAAAGCCTCCTCGCTCCATGAATTGGATCCTCGGGTTTTTCTGCACAAAAAGAGCGCGGAAAAATAAAGACGCCACAAGACGTTCAGAATAGAGTCGATCCTTTTGTATCTGGCTCAATAATAAAAAATAAAAAAAATGCTAATTTATGCTTTAGACATGCACTGTTTGACCTGATTTGCGGTTCACTGCCATGTAGTCCTTGTAACCCAAAAGTGGCAAAGTTTCCAAGCAACCATTGGAGTGAAAGTCCCACCAAGGATTTATAAACACTAAACCAGTGTCGTTTATTTGGTGGACGAATGTAGACCACCTCTAAAACCAGTGGAAGCGGCTCTGCAGCTCCTCAAACTTCACAGGAGAGGTTAGTAGCATTGCTTAATCTGATTAATTTAATTCATCTGATTTTATTTTTTATTCACAATTTAGTTCTTTTTTAAATTTGTTTTATTTGATATTTTCTCATTTTATTTCTCAACTTTATTTAACTAAAAAAATACTAAAATAATAAAAATGATGTTAAGATTATCAAATGATTGGATTATGTCGACATTTTAATACTAAGAGATTGTTTGTGTTCTGGGAAAATAAGCGTTTTTAAAAAACTCTTTTGGTGAACTTGTTTTAAAAACCCTAAACTAATAAGATTGAATAAATAAAATGTCTAATAAGTAAAAAAAAAAAAAACTAATTTATTGATTTAATCAAATGTTAAATGCTAATTTCTGAAGAGGAAAATGAGAAAAAACACATTTTGCATTTCAACTTACACCCAACAGGAGGTGCTCCTAATTTTAATTAAATTTTAGCAAATTAATACATTAAAATTAACAAAGAATATACAGTAAAATTTATTCTATAGATTTGTGTTGTAGGAACTAACCATCACTAATCAAATTAAATATTTATTAACAAAAGATTTAGAATGAGTTATATGTTTCGTTGTGTAAAATAATTACATATTTTTTATTTTGTAGTAAAATAAAATGTATCATTGAATTTTTTTTTACTAAAAAAATGCAGAAAGATATATAAATAAAAAAAGACACTAGCCTTGAGAAACATCTCTACTAATTTAGAATAGATGCTGCGCCTAATTTTAATTACAACTTAGCAAATTAATACCTTAAAATTTAACAAAGAAAACACAGTTAAATGTATGATATTCATTTGTGTTGAAGCAACTAACCATCATTAAT